TTTACAGAAAATGCATCATCGTTTTACAAGCCTCACCGGATCACTCTCATAAATGAGTTGATAGCAAACCGGAGAAAGGCATCGCAGCGCACAATTCTCCTTTGCTATTGGAGAAGATTTGCACTGCCAACCCCATAACCCACTGTTTGTTTGTTTTCCACAACACATAACACAAGAGTGAGCAAAAGAGCGAAATAAATAAACTCAAATAGAGTGCCAAGAACTTGCTAAACAAATGAATTAACTTTGAATTGGCGTTAACAAATTTCGCCAAATTCTCCCTACAAGGATATCACAAGAATTGTTAACATTGAATTGGGGGTAACAAATTCAGCCAAATTATCCTACAATGATTCACAAATATTTTCAGAAATAACCAAGAATCAAGCTAAAAACTTTCCCAATCTTAGGATAATACCAAGAACAACAAAATTTTGTGAAGTGTCAAGAGCAAAGATACGGTGCTTCCCTAAAACCAAGAAATTCTCTCAATCGTTTTCTACAGAAAGCAATTCCGAGATCGTCTATCATCAACCTAATGATCGAATCTACGAACATACGCAAGTACCAATAATTGATTTTTTTTTTTTTTCAAATGGTTTATAGAAAAAATTCCCATGGGACTCACCTCTCTATATCAGCATAGCAATCGCTCTTCTTCGTCCTGATCTCCACATCCTACAACAAAATTGATTTGTAAAACCAGAAACCAAAACAAGCATATCTCTGACTGAAATCGAACATGGAGATTTAAAGGTATAAGCTTACGGAGATGGGACGAGGAGATTTGGACAAAACACAGGGAATGAAACAGAGGGAGTGTAGCAGAAGAAGACAAACGATGCTTGAACGACCTCGGGAAATTTCCATGGCCTCTCTCTTCTTCTTCTCCGATCTTTAGTTGCTTCGATTCGATTTAGAACAACGGTTTATGAATAATACCAGCTGCGGAACTCGAGAGAAAACCGAACCGGTCTTATCTAATGGGCTTCATGGGCCTACACTCATTACAATTACAATAAGTGTAGAATTAAATCGACATATTCAAGAGGAACATAGCGATTCAAGAGACATGTTGTGCTATAGTTCAAGGCTTAGCATGTTATGGTTGCGATATGGTGAAGTTGTGATGTTTATATGTCGTCCATATGTATAATCGTATAGATATAAATATTACAATCTACGAATATAAGTAAACTATCTAAGAAGATAAGAAAACAGTAAGAAATTAATCTAAGCTACCTAAGCATCTATGTTTCAAACAAAATAAAAAATACAGAATAAAAGACATCTAGTAAAACTAAATTTACACCATTCATTAGATTTTGTCAG